CAGTGAAACCACCCCAGGCTGCCCTATGTCTCTTTTCTCCACTCACAGTTGCATGAAGCTCCATCCTAGACTAGTAAATAGCAAAAGAAAGGGTCAAAGCTCTCTCAGGACACATTTACCTCTTCCCCTTGGCATTTTTTCAGGATGAGTGTGGGTCAGAGCCCGGTGCTTGGCCCAGCACAAGGCCACATGCATGCTGTCCGCTTGGGGAGACTTGTTCCCACCTCTGCAAGAGGACGGTGGTTTCACCACTGTGTTTACTGCTCCCTGGATCCTCTGTGGGTGACTTGTGGATCCCACGCTCCTAGACTGTCAGTGTCTGGCTTTTACCCCCCCAAAAAATGCTTTGAAAAAAACAAGCAAACAAACAAACAAAAATCCCACAAACAAATTTATTTTTTTTTCTTTTTGTGGCTAGTTCTCCTGGGAAAGTACCCCTTTGCTTGTTGTGTGAGGACTGCAATCACATTGCCTAAACCCTCTTGTTTGCTTCTGTCTCACTGAACACACCCTTTGGGCTGGGAGGCTTCTAGTGTTCATCTCTCCTTCACATTCAACTCTTCCAGCTGCCATGGACTCACCCTCAAGTCCTTCTGACAGGGACAGGTCTTTGTTCTCCTTGCCCTCCTTGTCAGGTGCCATCATGGAGGTTTCAGCTCTGCTATTACCTAAAGTGTCACAAGTTTCTAGACGTAACATTGAGGGCTGGCCCAAGCACTTGTTCTAGCTATGCAGCTGATGGCTTGACACTTTGCCTCATTGGGTCAGCAGGAGAGACCTTGGAAAGAAAACAGGGCATCCTCATCTTCCCATGCTGGTGTCAAGTTTTCCACTTGGTTCAAGCCTTCCTGTAATAAATCAGACTTGGTCCTCTCCCAAAATGCAGAGACAAAAGGTTGGCTGTGGAGCCCATCACAGCTTTCAGAGTTAAACTAAGTCCTTTCAATTCAGCTGAATCTAACCCTGGAAATTTCAGCTATCAAGTTTCAATAGAAAAGATGGTTCTCGAGGCTGCAATAGATAGCATCGAAAGCATTGGATGAGTCAAGTCTCCAAAGCAATTTCTCTTTTTGTTTGTTTGTTTGTTTTTAACTGAGAGATTCTGACAATCATGAATGTCTCCTTGATATCTGTGGGATGGTTGGGGGTGGGGAGGTATGTTGTATTTATTGAGGAGAGAAGGGCAGAATTTGATGTTACAGGATAAGCTGATTCAGAAATGTATCTTAAATAAATCAGTGAGGGCCATTTTTCCCCAAGTTCAGTAGTGGCTAGTGATATACTCCATGGGGAGAACTATCTCTTCTAGGAGACCCCAAAAAGGCATAGGGATTTTCTTGGATGCCTTTTCTTTTTCTTCCCAATCTCCTTTCTCACTGTCCTCTTGTTTCAGACCCACAGACCTCTAATATGTGTCTTCCCGGTTGCAGGAATATCACTGCTAGATTAATAAACTTTGACTCTGTAGTCAAGAATAGTGATTTGCACTCACAACGCTAATCTCTTTTCTGTACAAACAGGCCTGTCACATCCAAACTGTTTGCGAGAAGTAGTCTCTTGTCTGGGACAACACTAGGTATGGTTCTCCAAAGCTGTACTGATGGTCCAACAGTAAGGATGGTGTTAGAACTGCCTTGTGTCCTGTTTGGTGAGCTGGTATGGACCTGTCCTTTCAGCTAGGACACCAATGGGGATGTGAATCAAGATGCTTGATCCCACGCATGATGGTGCTGTTTGATGTCTCCCCAGGAGCCCACAAAATGATGGGGCAAACTATCTCTAAGGATCTAGGAGACTAAAGAAATGTGATAAAATGGTTTTGGTCCCCCCCAAAACAGCCAGTATTTTCACATTCACACATTGAGACTCCTGGTGGCAAGGCTCTTGGTATCTGTTGTGTCAAATGGGCCTGAGCTACCTGATAAAGCTCAAGCTTTGGGACCTGTTGTTGTCTGTCAGCAAGTCAGCACGAAGAGCTCTGTTCCACAGCTTGGAGTTCGTCATGAGCCAAAGGCAAAACCGCACAGGCAAGTCTTCCTTTCTCCCTTAGGTACAAGCAGGTATTGCCTCCTGCAGTCATCCTCCTTCACCTAACCCCACATTTGTATGACCAGATGAAGCAACCTGGCCCTCCCTGGCCTGTCATAGAGGGAGGAGAGGATGGGAGCAGACCAAACCGGTGCAACTCTGGGTCTGGGATGGACCTCATGCTCTCCTATATGACTCAGGAGCATCAAGAGTATGACCCATGCCAATTGCTTCCCACCTTCTCCTACACCCTCCCGTTTCCCTGGCTGCCCTTTGGAATCCTTCATTGAAACGGAGAGTTTCCTTCCAAAACAGTGAGGGAAAGTCACTTGAATTAATGTTTGGAACTGAACTCCAAGAAGGAAAAAGAAAAAATGAGGAAAGGGGATTTTGGGGGTTAATATTAAAAAGTAGCTGGGCCCAGCAGTTTGTTTCACATAACTGCTCGTTCTCAAATTGAAAACACACTGTGTCTGGCTCGTTACACAAAAGGGACAGGCCTTGCACAATGTGCTCCCAAGGTCTGGCACAAACACGTGCTGACGGCTGCCAAGCTCAAAGTGGGTTAAAGTTTCTTCCTTAAAGCTCCATACTGCTGTTAGCCACTTAACACCCTCTGCATTGGGGTTTGTTTGACCCCCACCTGGCCCCATTTCTGCAGCAAAATTAGCCCTTCTGTGGTCCCCTCTCTCTTTTCCTGTCCCTGAGAACGGAGTTCTGACGCCTTCTCTGTGCTCTAAGTCTCCTGACACCATCTGCTTCCCCCTCTCTGGCAGTTGCTTTCACCCTCGCTTTTCTTACAGACCCCTTCTTTTGCCAGGAAAACTGTTCCTTGCTTCAAGAGATGCCCGTCCCCCTGTCTAACACCACGGTCCTGGTTGGAGCCTTGAGCTCTGTTGGTGACCTCGGACATGACTACAATAGCAACAAGGCACAAGAAAAACATTTTTTGGGGTCCTGGCCAGATTCTGGTTGTGTCTCGAAGCCTTTGCAAACTTCTTCTTCATCAGCATAGCGTTAGATGCCAATTGATGTCCCACCGCTTTCCTTTTTTGGGATCCAACAAAAGACCTGAATCTGGGTGAAGGGGCTAGTTAAGCTGAGTTTTGCAGAAATGTTGTTCAGCAAATATTTCACAGACCTTGATGCTCTGTGGCCAGATCCTGAATGGTGTCCACACCTCGCAATATATTGCAATTTGCACAGTGATAAATGATGCCACCATAGGGTAAATGGTGAAGCACTCGCCCTTCTCTTCCATCCCTTCTTAATTCTTCATATATTTTCCCCTGCCTCAGGCTTTGTCTGTTTGCTTTGATTTACTTTCTTTTGTCCCATTATTTCTCAACTGCATCCTTCCTTTCCAGTTCTAGGTGAAATATTAATACTTTTTATTATTATTAACCTTCCCTCGCTCTAATCTTTTAAATGCTTTCTCACATTTCTGCTTCCCACTGCCCATTTCTCACTTGCACATTTTCTATTCAGCAGCACTTAGCTTTAACAGTGTCATTTTTTACTGTTCGTTTATTTGTTTTAATTTTAAACTCTTTATCTTTTCTTGTTCTGGGCTGTGTAGGAGCATTGTTCCTTTCCTCCTATAGAGGAGCTGCATTTTTCAGCTCCGTTGCTTCCTGGATGAGCTGAATCCAGCAATAACTCAGTTTCGTTTCTGCATTCTTTGTGTGGACAGCTGGGAAAGAAGTTTTGTTTTCCTAACTCCTCTCCCTCACCCCACATAGCTGACAGGAGGTTGAACATTATATATAAAATAAACATGTGGGATTGCACAACTCTTGCCCCCATGCTCTGGCAATCCAGTTTCCTTCCTGATATTGTCCATTCTTATATTTAAATAATGCTTTGTTCAAATAAGGGCTTTTTCACAGATTATTTCCTAAGTGTACCTGCCACTTTAGCTGCCAAGTGAGTCTCCTATATCTTTGAGGGTAGAGAAGGTGACTGAAGATTCATGTTCAAGGTCAGGACAGATTTAGAGAGTGGAGAGGAAGACTTTGAACACTGAATGCTCATCCCCTTCACCCACTCTGTGCATGGAAACAAACATTTGTGCTCCGGTAGCCTCTGCAGCCTTGATTTATTTATTCATGTGTTTTCTACCTCTGCGGTATCCTGGAGGAGGCAGGAGGTGAAAAAGTAGTTCTGGGAGCAGAAGGAGGGAGCCTAGAAGGGCTGGAAAGGTCACCAGAGACCAGAAAAACCTGACCGAGTTTAAAGCCAGGCCACAGATAGCAATAAACATCATTGCTTGGAAACTCCAGGTGCTTCTGGATGACAGAGAGGTAAACAAAAGCATTGGACCTCATCCCTGTCTAGCCCATGAGAGCCTCTGAGTGACGGTTCCCAGTTGCAAAAAGTGCTCTTTGCAGGAGTAGTCCAAGCTGCTTTCCTGCTTAAAGCACTTTTCTTGGTACAAGCAAGGCCATTCTGGATGATTTTGGACAACCCATCAAAAACCTTCTGTCTCCTCTCCCATTCACACTTTATCTTTCACAGCCATAAAGTTGTTATGACACAGAGAAAGGAGAGGGAATGCTTGGTGATTCCTAGTATCTTGACCATCTTGGAGCCACCCTGTTTTGGCACACCTCTCTCTGCTTTGCTCCAAGTTTCACAGTCCAGCCCAATGGATTTTGAGGGGACTCCCTTGTCTGAGTCACTCAGATTGTTGGTCACATTAGCAATGAAGATGCGGCCAGTGGGAGTAGGTCTTGGGAAAAAAAAAATGGCTCTAAATGGGAGGTAGAATAAAAAAATTACTACCTGAAGCCTTTTAATAGGTTAGTTCCTACGCACAGACACACCCAGCAACCTATCCCGTGCTATATCCCGTCACCCCCCAAACCTTAAATTGTCGTAATCAAAGGAAGCCAAAGCAAATGTGGTCCCAGTATAAAACCTAACCATGGTGCAACATCCCACACCGTGCAGTCTCTGAGGGCACAACAACCATGAGGGCTTTTCTCATTGTGCTGCTGGCCACGGTCCTGTGTGTCGAGCAAGGTAAGGAACCCAGGAGGCTGGAGGTGCCTAGATGAAGGGGATGAAAACCAGGAAAGCAGTTAGCCAGAACACAAGGACATTTGACAGCTTTTGCTGCAGTCTTCATATGCAATTTTCCTTTGGCATCACTTGCTTCAAACATTATTAAATGTTGTTGACTTTCAGCTTCCGAATAAGTATAACGAGGAGCTTGTTGTCCAGAGAAGATGAGCTCACTGCTGCTCTTTCTTTGGCACTCTGGAATACCAAGCTCCAACCACTCACATTTGAGCCAAAAAATGCTGAAAGTCAAACAATTAATGTGGGCTCATAGTTTTATCTTTCGTTTTCCTGAATGAAATTGCTGTTACTGTGGATAAAAATAATAGGACTAGTATTGAGACCTCATATTCTCAAAGTGTTTCTCTCCATATCCCGCAATGGCATTGCAATTAAGAAATTAGGTTCCTGGCAGGTATTTGAAAGACTAAGAGTCCTTTGCTCATAGGTCTGAAGAGTTTGTTTAAATGCCTCAGAATGAGTGTGTTTGTAATGCGTTGCGCTTGGCCACAATCCCTTTCCTAAGGATACTGGAAGAAAGTGCAGAATAATCTGGATGACCAACATTGGGAGACCCAATCCCAATCCCAATGACTAACATTGGGAGACCAAAAGCCGTACTAAGACAAAAAAAAGTATTTTTACTGCAGAAACAAACAAGACAAACCACTGGTAAATACAAAGGGAGTCTAGAGATGACAGCAGGCAATGCAGCACTGTAGCAGGGAAGGACATAGACTTCGCTAGCTGTTTCACTGCAGAGCACTATGAGATGTTGTATGATTTATGCGCCCAGTGATGATTTGATTCTTGCTATTATGTACTGCTCACTTTTGAAGCCAGTCATACATGGGGCTAGAAGTGCTGGAGAACAGGAGGCGGGCACACAAGCGTGCCCGAGCAGTACATCCTGCTCAACCTTTCTCAAAAGGAGGAGAAGATACAACTTGATAAACTACTGACAGACAAGCGGACATGGCCTCAAGTTGTGCCAAGGGAGATTCACGTTAGATATTAGGAAAAAATTCTACATGGAAAGTGTGGCCAAGCATTGGAACAGGCTGCGCAGGGAAGGGTACAGTTGCTATTCATGGTATTGTTCAAGAAATGTGTAGATGAGGCACTTCGGGACATGGTTAAGCAGGCATGGTAGTGACGGGTTTATGGTTGGACTTGATGATCTTAAAGGGCTTTTCCCACAATAATGATTCTATGATTTTATGAAAATATCCTGTCAAGAAGGAGAAGCTAAGGATATCTTCCTCACTGAAGCCTTGAGACATGGAAGAAGACCCTGAGCAAAGCTGGAGGACTTCACTTTAGTCATGAGCCCAGCTAGCTAGTCATTGCAGCAAGTGACGATGCTGAAAGTGGGATCCGGGAGTGTTCAAATGAGTAAACTGGATAGTCATTACCATGCCCTGTTTTGTGGTATGACTGAGCTGGACACAGTGATATCTACTGACTGATGAATTTTGGATAAGCTACTGAAAATCTGATGAATAAAGCCACGTTCTCCTCCAGCCAACCATGATAAGTATCATGGAGCCAGGCAGAGAGAGAGGGAAGGAGATGGGAGCGAGGGGAGCCTTATAGGACACGGGTGGTGTTGAGTAATCTGTTTAGATATTCCTCAAAGGGATCTCTTATTCCTTCTGCAGTCCTGAAAGCTCTGCTCAAGGGCATGCAGTGCTTCTCAAAGCACCTTTTTTTTTCTTGCAAATAATGATAATAATGAAACTTTCAAATATTTAGGGAGTTTTACAAGGGACTGAAAGAAAATGAGCACACATGCACAATCCATCTGAAGAGTGAGTCTATACTCAGAAATTAAAAATGTAAATCTAAAAAAGAAATTCAGGGTTTTTTTCAAAGACAAAAACCCAAATGAAAACCGCAGTACTATAGAAGTTTTTCCATAAAGTCTGGAAGTCCATAAAGTCCATAAAGAAACATCACAAGGAGCTTTTCAAGAGGTGAGCACCCCAAGGGGACTCATTACAGGGCTAAGCGTGCCTATCTTTAAATCCTGAAGCCTATAAACTAGGCATAACTTTACTAGACCAGGCTGAGTTTCTGCTCCACCTAGAATCCCATCAATGGCTTTGAGTGAATGTTTGCAATCCTAAAGAGTGTTGCAAGACTGTTTGCGCCAGTAAGGCTATTTCTGGCTCCAATTGCAAAACTAGAGCTAATGTAGGGTGGGGGCCAGATGCAGGCAAGGACTTTGCAACAACAGTGATGGTTTGAGCTGTTATTGCTTCCTGATGGAGAGGATTTTTCTTCACATCAATCATTAGCAGAATTTCAGAGAATTTCAGTTGCTTTTGTGCGCATGCTGGGGTCTTGGCCCCACCTGTAGCAGGAATTTTATGTCAGATTTGGTGTAAAAACAAATCCATAAGGGCTACTGAGGCTACATAAGGGCAATGAGGCAGTGCATTGGAATTGCTCTGGCATGGTGTGCCAAAGGCTGGCTGCTTGGAGACCTCCAGAGAGAGATGACAGGTTTAGGTCATCCAGTTGCCGCAAGAGCAGCAGGGGTTCACAGATTCATAATTTACCTTTAACATAGTCAGTTAAAGGGAAATTAAAAATAAGAAGTATCACGGGTGATTTTATCTGCTATTATGGAAAACACCTGCACTTATAACGCTTGATGAGAGAAAAAGCATTTGAGCAGGCTCCAGAGCAAGATAGGCTCTTGCATAGCAAGGTGCTGGGACACAGAACAGGCTTCAGACCCATGCTCTGCTTACACAAGCACCTCACAGAGAAGAGGAGCAGCCTCCTCTCCTACCAAGGTATCCTTCAGGGTAGTTAAGGTCTAAGATGACTTTTAATTTTCTTTTAAAACTGATTCTAGAATTCTCTAAATAAGTGTTATGGGCAAGTGCAACTTCAGGCATGAAATTGGATTACTGAGCAACAGGGTTTTGGAGAATCCCTGGGAGGAGGTTCTTGTTTTGGCAAAGGGTGCTTTGTTAAAAGTGGGTTTGAATTCAAATGAAATTTTGTTCAAAATACATAGTTTAACTCTTTCTGACTTTGGACTAGTCTTGGCTTGGCCCTGATAACAATATGAAGACATATATATATATATATATATATATATATATATATATATATAGGTTTTTTTCCACTGGTGGAAATAATCTTCCTATTGTCCACAGCAACCTTTCCCAAGGAAATCCCTTTTATGTGACTCTATACTCAGTAGTTTACCTCAGTGGGATGTCATAGGATTTAATTAATTCCTGTCTGTACAATCCTTTTCAGATCCACTCTGACATGAAAATACTAAAAATATAAGCTCTCACATCCTCTCCTTTCCAATGCAATAGATCTGGCCAGGCAGGTAGCAGACTCTGCTTTTGCAAAATCAGTGTCAGCAGGGCTAGTGTAATCCAGATAGAGATGGAGCTCTGTCTAAAAGAAGGGTCTCCTGAGAGGGCTACTCAAGCTGAAAAAAATGTGTTTTGGTGTTTAATCACCCAAAATCTCAGATAGAGAAAAAAAATCTGTTTTGTTCTGTTTGCTATTTTGTTTGCCTTCTTGGCTTCATTATTCAAGAAACAGCCTTTTATTTGACTTTTTATGAAAATGTTTTTCACCTTGTATTATCCAAAAAAGGACACAGTTTTTGACACTTTCTTCCTGGGAGGGCATTACTGGAAGTGATTAACATGTGTCATATGCATTCTTTCCAGCTTCTTCACTTTTTTGCTATACATGTGAAAATGAGCATTCCAACTGGAACTGTCTTAAAACATACAAGTGTGAAGATCATGAGAAATTCTGTACAACAACATACAGCTCTGCTGGATTAGGTGAGTTGCAATATTACAGCTTTCTCTTTCACTTTGATAGACCATAGGTTTTTTTGCGGGTACTATTTGGGGTCTTTGGAGAGGATTAATGATCTCTCAGGGCTAAGGACTGCCACACATGGAGCTGCTTGTACCTCTGTGGTGGTCTTCCATGTGGGGTACCTTTCTCACCACCTCTTCACATGACTTGCGCCACTTGACTTGCATTCACTTGAGATGGATTTCCATGAGGCAGTTGCTGTTGCCTGGTCTCAGAGCTCACAACTGGTGACACAAGAAAGAAGGCATCTTCAAGGCCATAGGAGTGAGATTCTGGAAACCAAGGATGCATGCAAGTGAAATCTTGCTGTCCTACTTAAAGCACAGTGCAGATTACTGGCAGTTCCTTCAGCCAGGACTTTCTGGCGCCCCATATTTGATCCACATCGTGTGGACATTCATCTGGATCTTGTCAGATCTGTTGATCCCTGTCAGTGCTGCACTGATTGCAAATTAAGTGTTGTGCAATGTACAAACTCCCATTGCCCTCTGGTCCTGACTTGCAGGGAAATCTTAAATTACAGCTCTCCTTTCTCACCCTTTCTCCATGCAGGCAAGGACACAGGATACCGCATCACGAAGAAATGCTCAGCGGACTGCCCTGAGACAAATCTCAACTTTGGAGTGGCAGCCATCTCCACCAAGTGCTGCGGTACCTCCCTGTGCAACTTCAGCGGAGCCAACAGCGTGAAGATCAGCTACGCCGTGGTGCTCCTGGCAACTGTGGCCAGTTTCTTCTGTGTCATCAGGGCAGGGTTGTGATGAGGCCAGGGTGGGGGGAGAGGACTTGGTATCCAGAGAACCTCAGTGGTCTTCCCCAGTTGAGAAACTAACATCTTCTGAGTCAAATATCTCCATTGGGGTTAATGCTACCTTGTTTTTTTTTTTTTTTTTTTTTTTTTCTTTTCCCCAAAGCATTGCTTCAGATCCCATCCACAGAACAGCACAGCAGCACAGCTTCTGTTTTTCTTCCCCTGTACCATTTGTTGTTTTGTATTAATTTTTCCTGGGGAAAGCTCTTTTGATAGCATGTGTGTGACAACAGTGAGATAAAATAAAGATTTATGTTATTCTAGTGTGTGTTTGCTCCATCCACACTAAGCTTATCCTGGGAAAAACTGCCTTGATAGAAAGGGCTGCAGTTTGAATCCTTACTTCACAATTAAAATTCTCTTCTTATTAGCATCTCAGAGTCTTCCCCTAGCTGCCTTTTTCCACTGACCCAGTTGCATCCAGCAGCTTAAGACAGATACTTTTTAAAGTCAGATGCTAAGCCTAATCACTCAGAGCTAATGAATGAAGGTGTCAATCTGGAAAGGTCAAGAAGTTTGCACTGCTCCCAGTACAATTTGATACTTGAAGCAGTGGAAGAAGTTTGTTGGGGGTAAAACCACAGTCTTAGATGAAGGTTGTGTAGATGGGATTATATTTAAATAACGTGCAAAATTTAGTTCCCAGGCAAGGAAGGTAATGTGGCATTTACTGAAAACATACATGAGTCTGCTGAAGAGCATGATGCCATTTCTCCTATAAAGGGTGTGAAAGAAACTTGATCTTTTGCCCTTCATGTTAACCAGTTTTCCCATCACTTTTCATGCATATTGATCACTGTCATGAGCTTTTTAAAGTTTTTGGCCAGCTAGTAAATCTATTTATAGTAAAAATAATGCCTTTTTTTTCTTTTTCAGCTTTTATTTCATGAAAAAAATACATATTCTCATCAAAATAAAGAAACTGTTCACCCTTTCCATGTGGCATTTCCTACCAGGTTTAGAAAAAAAAAATAAAACAGGAGGAAAACACTCTCTGCTCTTCTCCACTCAGCAATTGCATCAAGGGAAATATGTCTTCCCATTTCCCCCTCTCTCTGCAAAGTTAAATCCCTGTTCCTCCTTCCTTAATCTTCTCCTTGAAGTTCATAATAGCCCAGTACTTGTGAACTGTGATATTATCTTTTCCTTGGCCTCAGTCCCTCTAGTCTCCTAATGGCCCGTGTCCTTTCTACCCACCCTGCACTCTTTTCAATTCATCTCGCCTGGCAGGTATGAGAAGCAAAAATCACATTAACATCAGGGGGGCCACATGGGACCAATTGGGCTGGTGCAGGACCATCTAAATCCCAATGGTCTGAAAACCTCCAGCAACTCCTTTAAGAACGACAGTGCTGCCATCTCAAAATCTCAGCAGCTTGTGGGAGACAAAAGATATTTTAGTTTTCATTTGGATGAGGCTGCAAGAAAGTGAAGGAAAAAAAATGCCTGGCTGAGCTGCTATTTCTGTACCTGATAATCATGCTGTTGGCTGAAATAAATCTGAATGTGGGCTGCCTCTGCAGAGCAATGTACGGGCGGCAGAATGGCACTGCCTTGCGACTAGACCCCCTTGTCTGCTATTACCTGGAACAGTCAGCAATAAAAAGATGATTTATCAATAAGGACCCACGAAATCTGCACTGGAGGAAATGAAATATTTGACTAGGAAGAAAGGCTTGAGTTTGTTGGCGCAGAGGGTATAAGGTTCTGCCTTCATCATACCGAGACGTAAAGGGCAAATTGCCCCTCCTTTGAGCTTCCTTGGTTAATTGCTACCTCTGCCCCATCTGAATTTCATGCTCGACCTGTTGAGAAAGCAGAGATTTCCATACCTTAGTCACACAAGTCTCTATATTGGCAATATTTATACGTTCAGTTTAAAGGTGATGGAAAGAATTACATCACCCAAAGTCCTGGGCATGAGTTCTCAATGAGATAATGACCATAGGTGGATAACGGCTGGAATCCCAAATATTTAATGGGAGTGCAGGATTGAGATGGAGAAATAAGACAGGTGGAGAGCAACATGGAGCAGAGCTGCTGGCAAAGACCTGGGGCATGCGGGTTGCTCCGACAGCCTGGAGTGCCATGGGAAGGAGATCCAGTCATTCCTAGGACTGCACCTTTCTTCCCGGGATGCGATGGCAGAAAGAGAAATGGTGGAAGGAACAAGCAAGAATGAGTAAAACAAGATGAGAACAGTTCTGATTTTATGCAGGGAGAGAAGGGAGAGAGGAAGAAACACAATATTAAAAAAAAAAAAAAAAAAAAAGGAGGACAAAAGAGCGCCATAAGGAAATCCAGCTGACTGCTCCTTTTTAGTATTTCACATAATTTTTGCTTCCTATACATATACATGTGTATATATATATGTGTATATACATATATATATATATCTTCATATCATATATCTCTCTATATATGTGTGTATACATACATATATATCTTTTTTTTTTTTTTTCTGAAAAGCTAATAGGTCAACTACCTTGTTTGGGCACTCCCTCATTCTCCATGCTTTAACTTTTTTTTTTTTTTCCCTCTCTGACATGTATTTTTTTCAAGACCTCTGTTTTTGCAAAAAGAGAAGAAAAAAAAAAAGTAGTCATAGCTTGTTCAATGTACTTGGAATGTGTTCTCTGTTTTTTATTTTAAAAGTGGTCATTTTCATTGCCCAGTGGAATTTATTTTCCAACAAGAGAACATTTTCCCTCCTATAAAATATGATTTTTTTGAAGAGAATCATTTAAGATTTTGAGCTGCAGTTCCAAAAAAAGGCCAACAAAAAATTATAGCTAGTCCCCAATGAAACACAGTGGAAGGAGACTGCTGTTCTGATCTAGCTGCATTCACAACCCTGGGAAACATTTTGGAGTAAGTTTCAATCACAGTTTCAAATTTAAATTCAAGCTATTTCCATATGCATCTAAACATTGCACAAGGATGGAATTCTCAAGGCACAGCCTGCCTTGAGCCCCACGCTGATCTGGGAAGGGAAGGCTCTTCTCACGTGGATGCAGCATTTTGTACTTCTTCCACTTATCCAGAATTAGAAGCTGTTGCATGCGCTTACCACATGAACAAGCTGTGTTGTGAAACATCAAGAAAAGAAAAAAGGGATTTGAGAAAAATATTCCCCTGTTTGGATTTACAGACAGGCATACTTCCCCATATAGGTGGGGACGTGCTGGGTTATGACTTAATCACCCAGCATCTGACATAGTAACACTCTGGTTATTATCGTATAATCAAAGCAAACATTGCAGAGGTATAAAAGCAGCCAAGAGCGAGTCCTGCCTGATTTGCAGATGCAAAGACCTATCGAGGATGAAGATTCTTCTTCTTGCAGCACTGGTTGCAGTCCTGTGCACGAAGCATGGTGAGTCCCCAAGGATCTTCTTGTGCAAACATCAGCCTGAGTAGAGGGACAGCTGCTCTTTGCTATTGTTGGGTGACAAGGGGGCTTTGCAGCAGGAATCCTCTTGACTGGGATGGGTTTAAGAGACCCTCAAGACCTAGGTGCACCCCCAAGGTGCAGCTACATGAGAGGTGAAGTTAGTTAAGGGTTACTCTAAGAAGGAGAGGGAAGGAGAAATATCTACAGTAAGGCTGTAATTTTGATCTACAACTACAGACAATTATTTTAATAGTTTTTGTTTATTGGTTTGGTTTTCATTATTTTCTTACTGGCTGCATTTGGAAGCCTGAATTAAGTTTGTTGGTGAAGATGACCATGTGCACTAGGAGGTGTAATCCTGACCCTCACTTTTCTTGCACTTTGTTGCTTTGAGGTGCAACTGAGTTGATTTTGATCCTTGAGGTGGAGATGCAGAGTCTCATCCTTATTTTAGCAATTGGATATGGTTTTTTTTTGTGGAGAAAGATGTGTTGCAAAGCAGCTGTGTTGAGGTTTGCCAAAAATCTGTGTCTGAGGAAGGTGCCTTGTTTGAACAGCAAGCACAGACCCGAATACTGCTCTTGCTATCCCATGGGAACATCTCATTCCTTCTTCTCTGGAGCTTATTGCAAACTGAATATTTCTTAGTTCCACTGCAGGATTTTACCTACAATCTACTGTCCATCCTGATCCTTGTTTTGGCGTAGCAGTTAAGCACATATTAATTTGGGTTTGTGAATGCTCTTACTGAAGCCAATGAGATTTTACAGACCTTGGACTCAGTATGTGCTAAATCACTGTGCTTAATGGGGGTGAAAAGTGGAGGGCAACAAGACGATCCTTTCCAGCATCCTATCAGCTGTAATCACATTTAGAAAATAGATCACGTAATGAGACAGCAAACTTACCAAAAGACACAGTGAAAATTAACACATACATAGCACCACTTTGCTGGGCTGTCTAGCCAGGAGGCTGGTGGCTGCTCCAATTAATCCTGCACTTGTCTGATTTCAATCCTGCATCTACTGGTTCTTGCACTTACTAACATTTTACACACTTAAGTCATTTATCTGAGTGGCTGTAATTAGAGGAAATGCTCCTTGTGTGTCTCCTTTGCCATTTTCCCATTTTCTTTCCAATAGAGTAGAGGTCTTTCTGGATGCAGACAGGACACCTTCAGAGACAGCCTGTTTTAACCCCAGGTTTTGCATCTTGAGCAGGGCACACTACAAAAGAAGTACTATAACCCTTTACCACTCAACCCTCATTGTAATAAATGCCTCAATAGCAACAACAGAAATCATTTTCGGTAGAACAAGCAGTTTGATAGTACTTAGCAGGAGAGAGAAAACTATTTCTCCCCATTTTCACACCAAAACACTTACCTTATCTATTTGACAATGATGAGAATGAAAAGTGTGCTGCTCAACTCTTTAGCTGAGGCTGCATGCCTCCAAAGTCCTTTAAAGTCAATGGTGAAAAAAAGAGAAGACTTCTAAGCACAAAATGAGATTGGCAAAATCAGCCCTGTGTGTGTGTCTGCTTCCCTGACTTGAAGAGTCCCTGGACTCCTAAATAAGCAGCCTTGGGAGTCTGGGATGAAATAGGACCAGGGCATCCAGCAACTCCCACTCTTTCCTGCATAGATTCCAGAAGTTTTCCCCAAAATGGGCTTTACTAAAGAGGCTGAAATAAATAAACTTTAGGAATAAAGTGAGTTTCACATCTAGAAAACCCTGTCTGGGGACTATGCTCTAATATAAGGGTTATTTTGGGACAGGAGGGTGGTTTCCAGTAGGGTGGAGCAGATGTTGCTCTGTGGAGTTTGCGCTAAAGCAGAGAACAAGGTCATGTTACTTTCTGTAAGAATTGTTTAAAGAGAGAAAGTATCCTAAAGAGAGTCCCTGATTAAAAACATACATTTCCTGCAGTGTGAGGATAATATGGAGCCAGGGAGGACAGAGAATTCGGAAATGAGTAGAACGGGTCTAATTTCCAGTGGATTACATTACTGCAGGAGTGCTTGTTCACATAAACGGATCAGTAGGAAATTATGCTTATCATGTTAAAAAAAACAAACAACAACAAAAAAGAACTAACTCCCCAAGGATCTCTTTGTGATGAATGACTGCTTTAGCTCACTTGAGTGCAAGTTGTTTTCATTCATCCATACAAGCCCAGTACTTTGCAGATGCATGGTGTTATAGATGTATGCATTGAAGAGTGTTAGACAGTCTTCTCCCACGGATGGCCAAAAAAAAAAAAAAAAAAAAATGAAGGGCTATTATTTATTTATATTTTTATTAACCTTATAAAGGTTCGGGGTTAAGTCCCAACATGAGAGCTCTGAAAATGAAACTGCCAAATGAAAGGATCCAGTCTTCCCTGGCAATCCAAGGATGCAGACCTACATCACCTGTCCTTCATCCCAGCTTTGTGTAGGGGCATTCAACAAAAAAAATCATGTTCAGTACAGCTAATGTTGTACTCTCAGATCTTTCTCTACTTTATATTCAATATTTTAATTTTTTATTAATAATTCACTGCTGATCTGTGCACTCTGAGAAAGAATGTAAGGGTCTTCGTTTTGGAAAATAAAATATTTGAAGAGGATGCGATAGAGCATGGAGAGGAACTAGTGAGTCTCTTTCAAAACAAGAACTAAAAGGAGCCAGGTTGTAAAGGAACTTCATGCTGCAAGTGGCAGTAGACTGGGGAAAACCCTTCCAAAAGTACATTGGGGATGACAGAACTTTTAATTGACTCAAGGGAGACTCAATAAGTATTCAGAAGAAACATCCCTTGCAGTTACTAAATTAGCACATCGCATCAGGTCAGGAATTTGATCTTAAAGTAATTTGAGACGACAGAAGTTCTTGGGGTTGAATTTCATATACTCCTGCCTTGCCTTATATTTCTTTGGGTACCTGTTTGTGGTCACTTCAGTCTGGAACAGCACTTTCAATTTTGTGTTTCCAGCAGCATCTCAAGAGGTGACTGATGGGTGTCGTATGGTTCTTTTGCAGCTTTCTCCCTGACATGTTTCACATGCAAAGATGCAACTTCCAACCTGCAGTGCCTCAGCACAACCACATGCTCTGATTATGAAAAGTACTGCCTCACATCCTACACTTCCTCTGGGCTTGGTAAGTGCGAAACTTTTCTAATCCTCTGATGAGAAGTGTTTCTGGATGCCGAATGCAGAGCATGCTCCTACTATGAGGCATGGAGGAAAAATTAATGATGATAGCAGTGCTCAGAAAGTAAATATTGCAGCAGATGGGAACTTGACATAATCCCTCTCTGTTGCAATACATCGCAGCAACAGTGCATTGATTATTAAGCTGCAGTTAGGAGCATAAGTAGAGCGCTCTTCCATCTTCCTGTGAGGAAGAATTTCTTCACTGTGAGGGTGACAGAGCCTTGGAACAGGCTGCCCAAGGAGGTTGTGGAGTCTCCTTCTCTGGAGGTCTTCCAAACCTGCCTGAATGCCATCCTGTGACCTAGGTGTCCCTGCTTGAGCAGAGGGGGTTGGACTAGATGATCTCTAGAGGTCCCTGAGCAAGTTTGCGGATGACACCAAGCTGGGTGGAGTGGCCGACACTCCGGAGGGCTGTGCTGCCATCCAGAGGGACCTGGACAGGCTGGAGAGTTGGGCAGAGAGGAACCTCATGAGGTTCAATAAGGACAAGTGCAGGGTCCTGCACCTGGGGAGGAATAACCCCAGGCATCAGTACAGATTAGGGGTGGACCTGCTGGAAAGCACCTCCACGGAGAGGGACCTGGGAGTCCTGGTTGACACTAAGTTAACCATGAGTGAGCAGTGTGCCCTCGTGGCCAAGAAGGCCAATGGGATTCTGGCCTGCATCAGGAGAAGTGTTGCCAGCAGGTCAAGGGAGGTGATTCTGCCCCTCTACTCAGCTCTGGTGAGGCCGCACCTGGAGTACTGTGTTCAGTTCTGGGCACCCCAGTATAGGAAGGACGTGGAGCTTCTGGAGAGGGTCCAGAGAAGGGCAACCAGGATGATTAAGGGAATGGAACATCTCTCGTATGAAGAGAGGCTGAGTGAGCTGGGCCTTTTTTCTCTGGAGAAGAGACGGCTCAGAGGGGATATGATTAATATGTATAAGTTCAGGAAGGGAGAATGCAGGGAGGAAGGGGACAGGCTGTTCTCACTGGTGGCCAGCGATAGGACGAGGGGTAATGGCCACAAGCTGAAGCATAAGAAGTTCCGTCTCCAGGTGAGGAGCAACTTCTTTACTGTTAGGGTAACAGAGCAGTGGAACAGGCTGCCCAGGGAGGTTGTGGAGTCTCCTACTCTGGAGGTCTTCAAAACCCGCCTGGATGCCACCCTGTGCCACATGCTCTAGGTGTGCCTGCTTGAGCAGGAAGGTTGGACTAGATGATCTGTAGAGGTCCCTTCCAACCTTAAATATTCTGAAATATTCTGAAATAGAGGTCCCTTCCAACCTTAACCATTCTGTGGTTCTGTAAGCCATCAAAAGAGAGAGAATCCCTCTGCATAAATCCCCTGTCTCATCTCCAGGTTCATGTGTACTTGAAGTTACTTGAGAAGTACATAAAGGTATTTGAGAGGACCAGGTATCTGGGTGGGAGCAGCCTCAAGGCATGGCAGCAAGGAAGTTTTGCGACCTTGCAGTGTGCAAATGCTTCAGTTTTCCAAATCACTTCCCTGAGTTGCACTTAACTGGTCCTAAAAACAGCAGAAGACTCCTGAGGTCTAGAGTTGAACTTGGGATCTATTTCCTAAGTGCTAGAGGGACACTAGTGTTGATAGGAAGTCTGCTGGGCTAGATGGACATGAAAGGCTCTCCATAGGGTACATACACACAGGTAAAGCTGTAATGTGCCAAAGTCCAAGGGAAAACCAGCAGTCATAAAGTAGAGAACAATGTATTCCTCATTGGGGTGTTGCTCAACCAGTTTATCAATGCTCTTTGTAAGAAATACGTAAGACAAAATGATGAATTTCTCTCTTCCTTCTCTCTCTCCCCCATTCAGGTAATGACCGTAGCCATCGCATTACCAAGAAATGTGCTGCAATTTGCCCGTCCATAAATCTGAATATTGGAGTAGCAGGCGTTGCCACCAGCTGCTGCGAGACCTCCCTGTGCAATATCAGCGGGGCCAGCAGTGTGAAAACCAGCTACGCTGTGATAGCTGTGGGTGCCTTGGTCAGTCTTGTCTGTGTCCTCCGGCTGGGGATGTAAAGGGGTTGGAGTGGGAGAAGAAGCTGCTTGGCCTTGTATTGCAAGGAATCATTGCTGCAGTATGTTCCTCTGGAGAGGTTACATGTTTCTCCTAAGTGGCACTTCACACCCCATCAGCAAATGTTTTTTTGCTCTTACCCCACCCTGATGTAAGAGCATGGCCCTACCTCAACATGGTGGTGGGAAGGAAAAGTCATGTGGAGCCCAATCCTTGCATACAGGTGCTGTACAGGAACCATCTCTCCTTTTACTTATGACCTATATAAATCCACGCATCTATTCCCCTTCATTTTGGCCCCAACTTTCTTCTGTGTCATTTTTACCTTTATACCATTTTCTGCCCTGGATGATATTGCTCTGAGGAAGCCTTTGATATTGTAGCTGTTAAACAGAAGCTGGGCACAATAAAGCGTTATTTTAGTCTACTGTGTGAGTGTGTGGTATGACACTTCAGGCATAGCAGCTTGAAACATCCATGGTAGCAGCAACAAGAATGGAGGCGTTAGTCTGCAAGTTGCATTGAAATGATACTGAAATATTTCAAAATTACTTTGCATTCGCTTCAGGAAGCCTCTTCCCAGATTTTCTTTTTTTTTTTTTTCTTTCTTTTTTTTTTTTTTCTGCATAGGCAGAAGTGTCATTTTGTGACTACATTTCAGAATAAATAGTATTCTATATAACTTGTTTTCAATTTTGCTTCTGGGTCAGCTGCAAGGAGGAAAATAGCTGTTGAGCTCTCCAGCAGGCAAACAGAGGGGACAAGATGAGACCCACCATGAAAGGATCTTGAGCATTAAGTTTTCTTTAAAGTGATTTAATATCTTCCAGTGGAAGTTGCTTTATAAGCATTAAGGATTACTTTGAAAGGGAAGAAAAGCATCTTGCATGGTGCTTAAAGGGAAAATCATCAGTCAAGACAGGCGGTTTCTACACTGTGTATGCTGGAGTCAGAAAATCTTAGCTCCATCTGTAAAAAAAAAAACAGTTCTACTCCTGGTGACCTTGAAAACAAAATCTTTATACTTGCTGGTACAGTTTTCTTTCTACCTGGGTTATAAGTGCAGGAATACATTCTCCTACTCTGACTTTCCTTGTGGACAAACTGAGTCAGAAGAGATTTGTCCTCTTAACTCCTTCCAATGTGAGTCACACAAAGCTGACATTTTCTCCTGAATTAGGGAAGAAGGCAAAACTATCCTAGAAAAAAATCTCCGTGGGACAATTAGTTGGGTGCAGCTCACCAAGCTGGTTTTCCCTGAATAGACTAAGCGCAGAGGGAGTGCAGCTATCCACATTACTCACTCTGCTGAGTGTTTGCCAAGAGCAGCTCCATGCTGATGTTCAGAAATCTGTGGATCCCTGTAACAGGTTTGCAAAGAAAACGTGGTCTCGTGGCTCCAATTTACCCCAACTTGCTCCTATCTCTTCTCATCCAGTCTTCCTACCACCCACCCCCAGCCTTGCACTCCGTGGCTGTTTCTCCTGGCTTTAGTCTTGTTCCCAGCCTCTTTGTCCAATCTACCTCCTCCACCTTACCTCCTCTGCTGCCAGATTTTAGATATTAGCATGGTGCACACATTTGCCAGCTGCTGCCCTTTTCTGCTGTGTTTCACAAAAGGGACTGTTGAGAAAGCAGAAATTTCTTTGCCAGAATATGGCCTGTTTGGAAACAGGTGTCTACACTGTATTCTCTGGGACCCACAACCTTTAGGTGCTAAGAGTCCTGATGGGCTGGATTTATCTTACCTCATTTTAGCTGTAGAAGTCAAGAGGGACAGGCAAGCTCTTTGCCTTGACTCACCATAGAGGAGCTATGGGTGACAGTGGGCTGCCAAATGACCTGCACTGGCCACCTATCATCCCATGTAGTAAGAAGAGGATTGGTAGGAAAGGGTACATATCTACAAAGAAAGAACCAAACCAAGAACTGCTCATTGGACTTAGATGGCTAAAGTCTATCCCATACTCACACTGTAAGGTGGTAACACCCCAACTATTTGAAATAAGTCTTGAGCCTTTGCTCTTCGTGGTCTTGGGAGAGGTGATGAACAACGCTGGTTGGCACAGGCCAGGACCAAGAAACTGAGGGACAAATCTTTTCCTGTTGAGTTTGCAAACACAGACCTGCTCATGGCATACAGGTTCAAAATGAGTCCATGTCGTTTTTTAAGGACATGAACTTGGCTGGCTCCTATATTTTGGATTGGGAGGGAAGCAGGAACATGAGGAAGGTATAAAAACGCGGGAGCAGAGAGGGCAAAGACATGTGGAAGAGCCTGCTTCTGCCTTGCAAGGTTTCATGACCTGCTGCTGCATGAAGTTATAAGATGCTCAAGAGTCCTTCTGTCCCTAAAGGAATTGCCCCTCATGACCCTAGTCTGCCTTCCTTTTGCCTGTTTTGTCCCTGGCTGCACAGGTTTTGCATTCACTTTTGCCCAGTAACCAAGCCGAAACGTGTGGGCCAAAGAATGATCTATGTCTCAAGTTATATAACTTCTTTATCTGTCCTTATCAGGAGGTGGGAGCAGCCATTGCCCTGAGGCATGGGACGTCCTCAAATCACGCCTCTTTATTCCGTAGAAGGCCCACCCTTGTCTGTTGTGTAAGAAACTTCTCTCTGCCAATCTTCCTAAGGCATCCTGAAGGGACATGTACCATGCAGAATTAGGTGCCATATCCCTCTGCCCAAGGTTTCTTATTTGTTGGTTCTCGTGGCTGCATGAAAGTGGCAATCTGAGATGGAGAAATAACTTGGAAGCCATGGAAGGACCTTGGGAAGGAGGTGGGTGTCTCAGATACTTGAGATAGCTCCTGAGAGGCATTTCTGCAAGGTCTGTAGAAGGGCTAAGGTGACTCTTTAGTGCTCAGAGTCACCATGCCAGGACTTGAATCAGCCAAAGAAGCCTCAACGTGCCTCAATTAGGTGTTTGTAGGAGGTGTTTTTACTTTGACCCTTGTTTTCCTTCACTCAGGAATTTTCTACCTGCAGCCTCACATCCTACTACACCCACTGACAATCCTTTCACAGAATCACAGAATGGCTGAGGTTGGAAGGGACCTCTGGAGATCATCTAGTCCAACTCCCGTGCTCAAGCAGGGACACCTAGAGCATGTGGCACAGGGTGGCATCCAGGCGGGTTTTGAAGACCTCCAGAGAAGGAGACTCCACAACCTCCCTGGGCAGCCTGTTCCACTGCTCTGTCACCCTAACAGTAAAGAAGTTGCTCCTCACCTGGAGATGGAATTGCCTGTGTTTCAACTTATGCCCATTTCCCCTGGTCCTGTCCCTGGCCACCACCAAGAAGAGCTTGTCCCCTGCTTCCCTACATTCACCCTTTATACCTATTGATCAGATCCCCTCCTCCAGGCTATTTCTTACCTGCGATCATCACCCAGTCAGTCAGTGACAGCAAGAGATAATATGGACATCTAAGATCAAAACAAGGTACTGCCTGGGTGCAAAAAGCTTCTGGAAGCCATAAAAATGGCAAAATAACCCTTTTTTTTCCCCCAGAAATAAATGCACCTACAGAGGTGCCTCAGCTCCCAGTCTTCCATCCTCCCTAGTGTGTCTGCCTCGCCTCTTGCTTCCGGCCCTCCTCCAAGCCCATGGCCAGGGTGCTGGTGAACAGAATATACCCTCTTGACTCTGGCTGCTTAATTTTTGCTTTTGCCTTTTGTAATCCATCCTATTGAGAAAGAATGAATCACTGTGACCTTGTCATATTGCTGCAAAATTAGTGCTCTTTAGATGCTGGGAAGAGGGCATGCTCCAGCGTTACACTAAGTCTGGGTACTTGCAAATACTTTAATGTCCTGGGGACAACTCCTAGATAACTGTTTGACATGGAGAGGTTGATTTCCTAAAAAAATTTATCTCCTTACACTCACTGTACGTTCGTTAGCAGTGATGGGGCTGTTTCAACCTCACTGCTCTCTTAGAGCACACTTGCAAGCTGGAGGCCTGATGAAAGGACCGAATCAATGTACCATGGCACCAAGGACCATGTAGAAACAACAGGTGTTGGAAAGGTCCCCGGATGTGATGGGAGATAAGGAATTTGAGGCCTGTTTCATTCATGGAGGAAGGGAACAAGAATATACATAGCAGAAGTCATTGAGATAACAAATGGAACAAAAAAAGGAGAATAAAATGGTGTTTCCCTTAATTACAAAATACCAGCAAGAGGAGACACCCACTAATTATGAAAGGTAACCTGTTTGTAACTTATTTGGGTTGTACACTCGATGGTCTCTGAAAGCATAAGGACAGATCTGATCATTTCTATGTCCTCTCCTGACCTCACAAGTCTCCAGACACAGAAGCAAGCACGTCCTTTATCATATCAGACTTGCATAACTATCAAATTCACCAGCAAATGATGCTATTCCAGGAAGAGTTTAGGGAGGCCCTAAAAAAACATCAGCAACTCACATGGATAACGAAATCATCCAGTGCTGAGATGATTAATATTAGACACAAACAGGAAAACAACCCCTTGTGCTACAAGGAATGGACAAGCAATCTACTGGTGGCAACTACTGGGGAACCACCTGTTATGGTATTCCATAGTTGCCAGAAAAAGATATTTTTGGCAGCTTTCTCTTTCGTATGTTCTGCTACCTGAGGTACAGGATTAATCTCAGTTTGAAGAAACTGCCACTCTGAGATGGCCATGCAAATTCTTACAAAATACATCTCATATTTGGGTCTATCTCTCAGAATATCAGAACCAGAGTCATGCTCTCAAAGTCAGGATTCAGAGGAGAGCAAATCCAGGGGAAGAGAGGAAAGAGATCAACAGGAGAGAATGAAAGAGAGACATTTTGAGAGATGGCTTTTTCACAGTTGACTAGTAATTCCAGGATGCCAGCTTGCGATATCTTAAAGCAGGGAAGTCTGATTTCCAGAAGCTGCTTGGCCTGGGGAAAAGCAGCCCTCTCATGGTTCCCTGGAATAGGTGCAAAGCTTCATTAAAGAAAACGTGTTTAGTATTTGAAAAACATTTGTAAAAGAACAACCAAGAGAGAAGGGAGCACAAGGATTATGCATAGGTAACAGAGAAGTGAAAAAGAAATGAAGACTGCCATGAAAATTGGAGGAAAATCTGTTTAACCAGCTATTGGCTAATTTCATACCCTATAAAATGCACTGACTTCATTAGAGCTAAACTAGTTTAGGCCTGTTGAAAACCTGGCCTTCTGATTCTGTGGAATAATTAAACCAAAAGAACAGTACATCCTGAGCCCTGGTACCCCTATCATTAACTATCCAAAGGAGCTATAAAAACGCATCGCTAGGACTAATTCTCCATGCCTCCAGGCTTTGCTATTTCATCATGCAACTGCCGTTGCTGGAAAGACAGAAGGATGCAGAGGAAAAATCTGTGAGAAGAGCAGACTCTCGTTCCTCATTACTCATGAGACCAGAAGAGCAAGGATGTGTTACAGGGACTTTTCACAGAGATGACTGCAATTTCCATGGGCTCCAGGATGCAGAACTCCCACATGTACCTTACACAACCTTGGGTTGATTTCATGTCCACCTGTGAGGCACCTGGAACTTGTATAACTGCTGCAATTCAAAAGGTATATAACCTGCTCTCCAAACACCTTCCCGACCCGGCTGAGAGGATCTGGTGGAGATGAGGACTACTCTTGCCCTCTTGCTGACTGCTGTCATATGTGTGGAACAAGGTGAGCCTCTATTGCTATTAGAATGAGGTTTATGGGGAGAAAACTTTGTGCTGCAAGAATTTACAGAGTTTTCACCAACTCTGTGGTATTGCAATGCTGCCGTCACGCTGTACTTCACTGGATGATGGGTTATATTGATCTATGATGCCTTTCCAAATTATGCAAGATAGAGGGACCACAAAACATATACATATATTTTAATCCACACCATTTTAGGGTGCTTTACAGATTTTTCTGTACTGCTGTTTCCTCCACTAGAGTGAGCTATGTGTTTTACTACTTGCTCCTCAGGAACTGCAAGCAGTAAGAGGTTTTATAGGTGAAATCCGAGATAGAGGTGAAAGGTTTTTTGCATGCATATGTCATGTTAAAGGCATCCTTCCTTCCAAAGGGAAGTCTGTGGTACTTTGAATGAGTGTTTTCCTTCTGGGACTGACATTGCTACATCGCTACTTGTATGTAGGAATAAGGACCAGGTTACCAGTCTTGCCCACATGCCTGATAGTTTCCCAGAAACCTTGATACATATCTAGCAGAGGTTGAGAAAGAGACATTTAATTAATTTGGGCTCTCTGATGCATCAAAGCCAGCCTCCTACATTTTTTGTGCATATGGTTTTGCAGCCTGCTTGGAAGATCATGAGCACAGTGACTTTTTGAGATGTGGGATAGCGATACACAACCTTACTAAAGTGACCTGGTGCCTGTAATTCTTGAATGTAGCAATACTGCATGGCCACTGGAGAGCAATTATCAAAGGCAAAATCTTCAGTGTTCCCAAGAGTGAAAGGAAATGGAGATCCAAGACTATGGCAGCAGACATTTATGGTGGGATATTTTATCCCTCTAGTAGAATGATGACCTTTTATGTTAGCTTCAGCTTTCAAATGAACTTAAGGACAATCTTTTATACAGCATCTTTCTGAAGTTTTGTCTAGATCAGATAAACTTAGAAATTGTGATAGCAAGGCTTCCATATTTGAATGTAAATGACTGTGGCCTGCTGGCCCAACACATGAAAAAAAAGTAATCTTGAAATCAACTGCTATTTGATTCTTCTCATGTATCTGGGATTCCATCCAAGACTCCAATACGTAATCTTTTGATCAAAACTGCTGATTACACAGTTTGCTTTGGAAGGTGTGTTGTCACTTCCTTCCCATGAACTCTTTATTACAGAAATTTTATGGCTAGAATAAATCTTAGAATGTCATGGTGTTAATCCTTGCTCCAGTGCTGTACCAAATCAGGCAGGTATTTGTCTAAGGTATTCTTGAAAGCTTCCAGTGAAAGAGATTCCATAACCTGGAATTGCTTTTCCCTTTAGGGGGAAAAAAAAAAAAAAAAAAAAAAAAAAAAAAAAAAAAAAAGGAAAACTTTATATTAAAGCCAAAACCATAAATTTTTTTTTTTTTTTTTTTTTTTTTAAAGCTGTGCAGTGTGGAAGTGTGTTATCCTCCTAGAACATGAAAAAGTTTATTACTTTACTGCTACTTATTTCTTGCTTGAAAAAGGCTACTGGGTCTTTCTTCAGCCCTTTTGCATTTTTGATTAAACAAATTAAATACTTATAGCCTTTTCTAAGAGGTTGTTGTATTTTCGAGATTTCCAACACTTCTCCTGTGTGCTCTCTCCAAATGCTTCACATATTTTTTGAAGCGCCACATACAGATTTGGGTATCGGTGTTCCAGCTGAGACTTTGCCAACGTGTAAAGGACATTTTGCATATTTTGCACATGACATTGATGCTTGTGTTCTCTAGGCTAATGCTTGTTTTCATTGCTGTAGCATGACACCGTCGTTCCTGCTGTTTACCCCAGTCCTTAGCAGTAACCTAACCAGTTGCTTCTCATCTTGTATTTATGTAACTTTTATTTATCTTAGTGTAACACATGACATTTTTCGTTATCGAAGAATGTCACAAGAATCCTCTAATCCATCCCCCGTGTCACTAGCAATCATAATGAACAGTACAGAGTATGCAGCAGAGCTCTGGAGAACCTTATGGGGTGCAATATTGCAGTCTGACCAATAACTATCCTGTGACTATGTTCCCATGTCTGATGTTGCATCTATTCTGTTGCATATTCACATGATGCTTGCTCATAAGGATGCTGTGAAATACTACCAAACATTTTGGTAAAGCCTTATTACATCTCCTCTATCCAAAACACAAGCTATTCTAGCATGTTCCATTCCATGCATTTAGGTTTATATGAATAAGGCAAAAAAAAAAGTCACATTATGGCCTTCTCAGTGCCAGCACTGAGTTTCCCTTCTCTTCCCTTTCCTCACTTTCCCCTTCCTTTTCTCCTCCTCTTCCCTTCCCTTTTCACAGAATCACAGAATATTCAAGGTTGGAAGGGATCTCTGGAGATCATCTAGTTCAACTTTCCTGCTCAAGCAGGCACACCTAGAGCATGTGGCTTGGTGGGTTTTGAAGATCTCCAGAGAAGGAGACTCCATAGCCTCCCTGGGCAGCCTGTTCCACTGCTCTGTCACCCTGACAGTAAAGAAGTTCCTCCTCACCTGGAGATGGAACTGCCTGTGTTTCAACTTATGCCCATTTCCCCTTGTCCTATCGCTGGCCACCAATTAAAAGAGCTTGTCCCCTTCTTCCCTGCATTCTCCTTTCCTGAACTTATACACTGTTAATCAGATCCCCTCTCAGCCTTCTCTTCTCCAGAGAAAACAGGCCCAGTTTCTCCTCATACGAGAGATGTTCCATTCCCTTAATCATCTTAGTTGCTCTTCTCTGGACCCTCTCTAGAAGCTCCCTTCCCTTCCCCTTTCCCAGCATCAAGAACTTCTCATCTCTGACCAGCATTGCCTTTCCACTTTCTTGTTTCCAACTTCGTATCAGGCAGAACTGAACTCACCACAACAAGCCTGCCAGTTGCTTTCCACACTTTCTGTGCTGTCAGATTGTCCCCAGACTCACCAGGAGTGTAGCATGCCTTCTCTGTTGTGCCAGCTTCCCATTCCAGAAATGCCTCTGTTTTTAAAGTAACTCATCCTCTTCATATATAGACATACATTTTTTTGCTCAGGATGATTTTGCTAGGTTGGAACCCAATCACCATCTCCAAAATAGTAATTTATTTAATCTGTACACACTTCGGTGTTTTTTGCTTGTTTGTTTGTTTTCATCAAGGCTGTGTTCTTGCTCTTGTACCTTTTCATCATTACTTTCTAAAGGTCCATCCTACCATATTCTGGACTTCAGGACAAGCACATGCATCTTGGATAGGGAAGACAACTCTCCTCTGACTGTCTTTGCTGCATGCCCTCTTCTTCATTCTACTGCAGACGTATGAATTATCCCATCAAATCTGTGTTTACCATCTAAACCATAATTTTGGTTAAGACTTCCCGTTTATTCTCCCTCACACACAGCATAAATTTCAACAGAGCATCTGACTAGTCCTCTCAGACTTCTTAGAACTGAGGTTGGCCCAGTTCAGTTAGTGGTGTCCAACCACAAGGAAAGATATGTGACAGCACTCTCTGGGACAGATGAAAGAGAGGTAGGACCTAGGAATTGCCAAGCTCCTTGAAATGCTCCAGGAACCTTCAGGTCCTCCCTGATTACTGCTTGCATAAGACAAATAACCGGTAATTCACGTGACAGGGCTGTCAGGTCAGAGGAGCTACTACTAAGCAATAATCTCCGTCTTAAAGACCCCAAATCCTTGAATTCTGCTCACATCTTATGCTGTCAGAGATTGCAGACAAATTGGTAGCACTTCACAGTCTGAGGCACAGGAGACAGGGCGGGATTTAACCTTGCTACCATGGATCAGCAGTAAAGAAAGTCACTGGTCATTCACATGAGCATTCTCCAGGCTACAGCTAGGAAAATGCAGCTATTAGGAACATGAGCAAGATGGTTTCTAAGCCATAAAATGTGCTTCTTTTGTTCTCTCCCCCACCAGCCTATGCATTTATGTGCTACGTGTGCCAGAAGGAGGAGTCCAACAAGAACTGTTTGACCATTTCCATGTGCTCAAAGGAAGACAAATATTGTGTGACTGTCCGGAATGACATTGGAACAAGTACGTTGCAGAAAACCCTTCTTTCTAGGATAGAAGTCCCAGTAACGGGCCCTGGGAGCCAGGGACAATGCCTGTACAATGTACAGCAGCACTAGAGAGTGACTTCAAGCCTGGGACTATATGTGCTCCTTCATGGTTAGCTCCCACCCAGCTTGGTTCTGACCACTCCAGCTAACTCTCTCCACGAGTGTACTTGAGCAGAGTTCAGCAGCTCTCTCCTGGGGTTATTTTCAAAGAAATACGGACGAAACTGCACCACAGCTGATGTCCTTTGCCCCACATACTCCTTCAGCTCTGTGCATTGGGGCTCTGCACCCTCGAGCACCTCCATGTGTGCTGAGACTGAGTCCGGGGTTGTGCGATACTTCCCTCTGGTTTTATGTTGCAGGAAAACCCTCCTGGTGGGCGGCAACCCAGACTGAGCATTTCCTCAGAAGGTTTGAACTGAAACCCACAGCCCGATGCTAATTCTGCTTTAGGCATAGCCATAACAGAAAGCCCAGTATCATGTTCTCGCAGCGTGGACATGACCAGGCTGTTTTATTTGAGACAGTTCCCGAGCTCCCTCCTCTCCTTGGGGACAGGTCCCCGTCCTTTCATTCAGCAATGCAGATTTAGCGAGGGGAATATTTCAACAATGATTCTTCCCTTTTTGCTCTCTTTCTCTCTCTTTTTTTCCATCTCTTCTACACTAGAGCCCAACGAGCCTAAGTATGTCTACTCCAAGATGTGTTCTCCAACGTGTCCAGCAAAAAGTCAGCAACAAAACCAAACCTATCAGAAGGTTACTTGCTGTGAGAAGCCATTATGCAACGTGAATGGAGCCAGCAGCAAGCAGAACAGCTATGCAGTGATGTCTCTGGGCATCCTAGCTACTATCGCTTATATCTTTACACCCGGACTGTAACGGCTTAGGAAAAGCTCTAAGTGATGGCTTTGTTTGAAATAAAAGTGTATTGCTCTGGAATAATTCCTACCCTTAAAGAGTCACGCTTTGCAGAAGAGCTCCCACTGGGGTTTTCAAGAGAATTTAAATAACTTAGGTGCTGAACTCCCATTGATTTCCTAAGCCTACTTGAATCCTAAGTATCCCCAGACATCTAAGTCATCTCAGGAAACACATAAAAGGCAGCTCTTTTGGCATGTGGAGGCTTCAAATCACCATGGCTCTGAAGAAATCCTAGAGGACATGTTTTTGACTCCCTGAGTTTCAGAACACTTCAAGGAGGCACAGTCCACACTCATAGATAATAGCTCAAAAGCTAATCCAGCACAGAGATCAGTATCCTGTTTCATTTGCACAGGTCCATTATCACACGTCAGTGAAGCAATCCATAAGCCAACATGTTGAACAAGGCATATTGAACAGACATATTTTGGACACCCCTCCAGCCTCAAATTCTGGTTCCCTTGGCCACTGCATTTTGAAATGAATATCCTTCACTGCCCAGCTCCAATGTGCTGGAGAACCAAATGCATCTGAGAGAGGAAAAGCAACCGCAGGTACCAGAGGAGAGACAGGAGGAGAAGAAGGCAACATGGTGGACACTGTGCTGGAAATTGGATCCATACTGCCTCACACGCCTCTTTCAGGCTGGAAAAGACAACATTCCCATATCTATTCACTCGTTTTGCTGCAGGGCCACTCATGTGACAGCTCCAGCTGTTCACAGGTTGTGATGCTGGTGCCACAATGATCAGGTCTGCTGAAATCTGCTTTGTTATGAGCATCAGGATCTCTGCTCCCTCCTCTCCCTGCAAGAACGGTTCAGAAGAAGGGTTGGCAGCAACACTGGCTCAGTTGTGTTCTGGGAGGAAAGTAGAACTTGTCCAAATAATTCAAGGCTTTTTCTACAATAATTTCTATAACAATTCAAAGCATCTTTGGAAATTTGCATTGGAAATATGCTTTTTTTTTTGGTTGCATTCATGGAAGGATGAACACTTGAGATGGTTCACACTGCCTGGATTAAAAAGCTACTGGTTTCCCAACAGGACAATGAACAAAGCTGCCCCCATCAACTCAGCCTTTTGTACTGTGATCCATAGCATCTGATGCTTGGTCCATGCTTCAGATATTTTCTTTAAAGAGTAGGAGAGGAAAAAAGCAGATGAACCACGGTGATGGGCAGGCACAAGAAGCCACTGACACCTCTTGATACTCTGGTGAGCTCAGCCTGGGGATGAAAGACACATCTCAAGAGAGCCAGAAGTCAATTTGCTTTCTGCTGGCAGAATTTACAGATTTACAGTTAATTTCTTACACCTTCAAAAAAAAAAAAAAAAAAAAAAAAAAAAAAAAAAAAAAAAAAAGGAGGCTGTGGTGTAGAAGAGGATGAGAAAGACTGTTTTAAGCAGAAAGGAAGGAGAAGATGCCTGGTGGAAGGGGTTGGCAGCATCGATGTGTGTCACGGTGGTCGTGCCACATCCCGCTGCCGCCAACACATATTTTACACATACCTGACACGAGGGGAAACTGCTTCTCCCAGTAGGCCTTGCAATATAACGGATACTTTCAAAAAAACTCCAGGGAAGATGGGCTGCAGGCCAAAGCCGTTACTGTTTTTACCACCAGGCAAGCTGGCACAGGAAAGGGGAAGCAGCAAGTGCAATTTATATCTCCGTATTTCACAGTAAGTGAAATATTGAGCAATAGCGCAGGGAGCCAGTGGGTGAGGCTGGATGGCAGGAGGGAAGGTGTCGAGGATGGAGACACGTCCACCGAGGTTGATAGCATGCAGAAGACCAGGCTGTGCAGAGCAAAGCAAGAGGAGAAACTGCAGACAGATGTTTGCTAAAGCAAAGTGGGCCTTGTTGCATGGTCCAGAAGGAGAGTTGCTCAGCTCAGAGCGTGGCAGCTGTGGCTGAGAACCATCATTCAGTACCTCCTCCTTCTGCATCAAGATGCCTGGGAAGAGGAAGAACAACAGGAACCAGATACTCTTGAAGGAAGCAGGTTGGTTCTGCTCATGGAAAGCATTTCCCTCCCCGCTCCTCCTTTTCTCCCCTGACATTTCTGAACACTGGAGCACCTGCTTGACTGTGCCACGTAACCCTGATTGCTTGTTTTGGAGAGGAAGCACCTTAAGGTCTTTATTGTGTTTAAAAAGAATTTATTGGTTCCATTGCTTGTCATACTAGCACTGTCTGGCTGTGCAACTCCACAGCCATGAAATAGGGTCTCTGAACAGTGCATGCATAGGATTTATGAACTGAATTTGTCAGAGATGATGCTCTGAGAGGGAAGTCAATGAATCTCTTTGATAAGAAATAAAGAAGGAAAGGGGAAACTGAAATGCCTTCCATTTTGGCTGGAGCGGGGGCAACAGGGCACATGCTGGCCAAGACGCTGAAAAGGACACAGGTCCTTCTCCACATTTTGCCTTCCTTGGGCTGCAGGAAGGTTCTGGTAGAAGACCAGGGTTCCTGTGGCCGAGGAGCTTGAGCATAGAGTCACCTCCTCTTCTTAGGGAAGAACTGGTCACATTTGCCTTTCCAAATGAATTTGCAATGCAAGGTGTAATTGACAGTGCTGTCCAGGCTGAGGTGGACTTGCTTGGGAGCGGGCAACGCCTGCAGGTGCCACTTTGCTGTTGACTTGGTTGCACAATATCACAAGAACGTTGATTCACACGTCCAAGGACAGGAGATATGTTTTCCTTCAGTTTGCTGGTACGTGCGGAATAAAAGGAAATACAGGTTCGGAGGCACTAACCACATCTAACACATGAACAACAGAGCCATTTGGCTACTGCAGATGTTAATAAGATTAACCTGTATTAGCCAACTAAAACATCAAAAGTAAGAGCATTAAAATAAAGCAGGGCACAGGTCTAAGCAAAGAAAAGGTGATGTTTTCAATATAAATATGCACATAAGGAAGAGATATTAGACAAACTGAGTAGTGTCCGGGCACAGAGGCATTGGAAAAAGAAATAGTTGGCAGCATAGCTACCAAATAGAGCCTGTCTTACCTGCTCCTGGTGTCTTCACAATGGGAAAGATTGAGGGTTTCAGAAGACTGCATAACATCAGACATAGCACCCATGCTTATAAAGGGAATGTGAAATACAGAGCAGTCAGTGCAAGCCCCAGGTTGGAAAAAAAAGAAAATCCAGAATAAATCATTAAACAACTTGCAAAGGTGTAAGGGATACCAAGGACATAAGGATGAACAGCAAGAGATTTGTGTTGGATGCGTCAATCCCACCTGTGACAAGGTGGCAAAATCTGTAGCTAGGGTAAAAGCAGTATCTGTCACATTTCTCAATGCTAATATAGCTGTTGGCACCGTATCACATGCAAACCAAGAAAACACAGTCTGGAAAAAAAAAAAAACCCTAAAGCAGACATAAACTGGCTGGATTGTGTTTTCTAACAAATAACTGACAATGGTTTGCTGTCAAACTAGAAGAATCTATTAAATACGGTCCTTTGTGGCTTGCCATGATCCTAGTATGATGCTATATTTTAATTAATGGTTTGAATAATGGATTAGTGAATAAGCTCATTGAGCTTTCAGGCAACAAGCTGGGAGAATCTCCAGCTGGATGGGAGGACAAGATGAGAGTTCTGGGTGATGAATAATCCTAGGTCTGAAGGTGAGGATGCAATTTGGTAAGGACAAACACGAGGCTCTACAGTCAGTGCTGGCCAATCATCAGCACAAGTATAGCTTAACGAATCCCCTTCTGCAGCAATTTGTCTGGAAAAGAAATTGCAGAGGGTGTCACACTGGATCACCAGATATGTCAAACTTGGTTGGAAATAAAAAAGAAAAGCTTTGTTGGAACATTTCACTGAAAATTTTTCAATCCACTAAAAAATTGGGCGCATCACCCTGGGAAGTGCAAACTGGCATAATGAGATGTGATCCTTCCAGTCTCTTCTCCAGTGGGAAAGTCTAGGCCGATGCATTCTCCTTCCTTGTTGTTGTTGGGTTCACATAGGAGTAACAAGGCTTTTAGGTAGGGTCAGAAAGGTTTCCTAACATCTAAGAGGTGGTGAAAAGCTGGAGTTAACAAGCAGCATCCAGCAGGAGCATATGCACTTCAACATCAAGATGCAAAATCAACATCAAGATGCATTATAGTACAATAGAAAAAGATCTTCCTCAACATATGACTGGCTTCTTCATGAGGGGCATAGAATGAACTCCACTTCGGTTGTCTTCTCCAGTTCCTCTTTCAGTCATTCCCATGTTCCCCTGTTGCGGCTGCTGATTCCCTTCATTACAGCACAACTGTGCTGAGCTTTGTTGTATAACCGTAAAGCTTTGCTTTATGCAAAGATTCTTATCATCAGACACGAACCAAAGATGGTCCTCCATTTTGCAGGGATCTCACTCCAAAGGATTCTCATCCCTAAAACAGATCTTAGGTTCCTAGGATTTCAGTCAACAAGCATAAGCAATAGGTATGCTGAATGGGTGAGTCAGCTCTGCATGATATCTATGTCATATGTTATTACCCTCTTCAGCTGATTTTTCAGCTAGGAAAATCTCTTACCCTCAAGCAACATGCTCTCACACTGGGAGGTGACAAAGTTTTTGATTTTATTTACCCGGTCCAGGAAGCAGATGCTGACTTCGTGCCCGCTGCTCACAATAGCTCATCTGGGACCAGCCCCTGACTCCAAGGCCTGCTAGAGCATTAGATGTTAATCTGCAATTAGATAACATGCATATGCTACCCCTGGGAACAAGAAAATCCCTTCTCTAGTCTGGAGGAAATGAGTGCAATAAAACTTAATGCAAGATCTTCTGGAGGACAAAAGTGATTTTATCATCCCAAATCTCCAAGCTAGCTGATTTTGTCCTCTCACACTTGTTCTTGCAGAGTTAATTTAATCAGTGTCTCATATGCACCAAGATGTGTGTGCCCAGGCGATCTGGCCAGTGTCACTTGTGTGGGAAACATGGGCAAGGGACTCCCGCTATGCAGTCCTCATCATCCATCTGGAGTTCCTCACAGTAAAGAATAACAAACTGACTCCAGGCACAGAGGAATGCTGTTATGCTCTTTCTCCCCTTATTTTGCCCCTGTTAAACAAATTCCCTGCATTTCACAGTTCCTTTATTTTCCTTATCTGTTCTTATCTTCTTGAGTCCTTATCTTAGGTCAGTTTGTTCTTCCTTTTGATTTCAATGGGATTATAAACAGGTGCGCTAGAGCAATTAACACTTGCCTTTCTTTTTAACTCTTGTGCTGCTGTTTCTTCTAGATGTTTTCACACACTCGCGCATCTCCATTCTCATTTCAGTCTAACCACACAATATTTCCATTACGAACATCCACAAGTCCAGCATATTTTCTACAATTTCAGCATGCTTCTTTTTCCAAGGGCTGCTGAATTCCCTGTTTGCCGGGAACCATTTTTGGTGGAAGGAGTAGGAAGGGACTGGAAACCCTCTTCCTCTTGCTCAAACAGCCTAGTGATGAGGTCCCTGCTGCAGGTGAGAAGAGACAACCTTGACAAGACATCCTTCCCAGAAAGATGCAGAACATAGTTAAGAAAAGGCCAAACATAGGACTGGAAATGAGGCTACAGCATGGATCTGAAGTTCACTCAAGAGATGGGCACAAACACAGTGTATGTCCAAGGGCCATCCAGTAGACAGGAGACATGACCACTACATGAGTGCAGTGACCATCCAGGAGTTGAGACCAGAAATAGAAATGTAAAGAAACTAACTACAATTTGGGTCCAAGGCTCATTCAAGGGTCTGTTGGAGGTACGCGCACCTACAGCATAGTAGCATAGCCCAGGCAAGGACTAAAGGGTTTTTAAAGGTAATGAAAAACTTAAGACTCCTGAGAAAGTGTGCAGAGGGTCTGGAGATAGATCTTAAGTGAGGCTGGTCAAGGCAATTAAGGTCTATGGGTACACTCAGAATTAACCCATGGGTCCATTTATAGGGGACTTTACAATGCCAGAGGACATAATCCTAGAACAACTCGGAGAGATCTGGTTAATCAGAGCATAACTTTTAAGTTTCACAATTCTGTCAAAAGACTAGAATAAATAAGCAAGATTGAAGGTGAGTGAGTCATGCAGACTTTGGAAGAGAGGAGGTGTGAAAATATTGGCTTCTCCCGTGCAGACTGAGCACGCACCGACCAGCAAACCACCTTCATTAATAGCTATGGGAAAAACAAAAATAAACCTGCAAAATTGACACTAACCAGAAAAAAAAAAAAAAAAAAACAAGTTCATAAATTTGACTGTGCCTGCAGGCTGTGCTTTAAATGAGGTCCTTTTCCAGAAGATATTGCAGCCCAAGGATATGCCTGATTATGCACCCACATCTTCAGGAACCTCTGTAGTTAATTGTGAAGCAGTTCAAGTCTGTCCCGTGGGTTGCAGCTGAGACCAGCCCATCGAGGAGATGGAGGACAGTGAGTTGTTTGGCACTGTAGACAGCAAGAAAGCCCACTCCAACAGGTGCAGGTGCTCAGACCTGCAAGCAAAGGCTGAATCACGCAGCACAGCATTTTGTTGTATGTTACAGCGCTGAATTTTGCAATGTGCTCTACCACAGTGTAGCTTTGGTAAGGAGAGATGAGAGATCTGAATTTGCCTGGTGAACATTTGTGAAGGGCTTCCTAACCCGGCACATATTCCACTGTAAAGATGTGCCCCTGGCTGGTCTATCCACTCGGCACCTGCCAAACCAGCGATTCTGGGATGAATCCAGATTTTATAGTGGATTGTGTCCTGTCACTCTTAGGTCCATTTTTTTTTTTCTTTCCTGGACACTGTCAGGGGGCATCTCCAAGGTTAAGCAATCGCTTTTGCTAAGTTTGTGAGGAAGAAAATCAGAAAGCCTATCTACACTTTTCTTGGGGACAGGGAAAGAGCACAAAGCCCTGACGCAACAGAGGAGCTGATGGAATGTGCTATTCTTTCCTGATACCCATAAATTAAATCTCAGCAAAACTAAGAGATATGCTGCAAGGCTAGTCACTTATCATTTAGAAAATGCCAGACTGACCGTTACAGGCACAACCTGAACTTGGTCTTTGGACTCTGGATGACGCAGGGGTCTTGTGAGTACATAAGGATGACGGCACACTGAGAGTCTGAGTTACGGTTACTCAGGCTGCTGCAGAACTGAAACTTCCCAAATCTTGAGTACCTGATTTACAAACCAGAAAAACTGAATAGTCCCAGCAGCACAGTCCAGTGGAGATGCTAGACCACAGAAAAACAGCCAGTTCCTGCTAGAATAACTGGCAACGGCAAATAAAATAAGCCGCAGGAGAGTCCAGGGAGGTGGAGGGATTGAAAGCACATAATTGTTTTCTGAGAACTTTGAGTGCACTCCAGCAAGAGAAGAGTTGGAATTTCTTCTGATAGATGTATTTGCCAGAATATGCTGATTCTGCAGAATTATACCTATGTGGCAAAGAAAGTTTGTCAAACCTGACTGTTTCTTGCTGGCTCACTAGCCATCTCCTCCATTCCCAGGCTTCCTCGACAGGCAGCTTCTCAAGCTCCCTCCCCCAGTGCCCTCAGTGCAGCTAATTTGCAGGAGGCCTTTGCCTGGAACTTACTGAACCTGTGTTGCTCCTGCAGACCTTGCCAGTGGACTGCTCCATGCAATGAAGCCCCATCCTGCCAAGCAGGTGAGGCTGCCATAGGCCTCCGCAGATGCTAAGCCCTTGTGCTGTTTTATTTATTTATTTATTTATTTTTTACGTCTAACCCCATTGAGACTCTTTGCAATGGCTCAGGGGGCTGAAAAGCTACCTCCTTGGGACTGGCATGCAGAGGTCTGTGCATACAGGGGTTGCATAAGGTTGGTTGGGTATGGGGCAGTGTTGTGTATTCCAAGAGGTTTGCACACACAGTGGGGTATACATGCTGGAGTGTTGCACATGCAGGGGAGTACATGTAAAAGGGGGGTTGTGAATGCAGGAGCATGTGTGCATGCAGAGGATCTGTGTATGTTAGGGGAAGTGGGAGGGCTATGCACGCAGGGGGTTGCAGATGCAGAACTGTGCATGCAGTGTGTGTATGTGGTGGGGGGGCGGTGTTGCTCATTTCGCTGGGTTGCGCCTGCAAGGGATCAGGGCATGAAGGGTTCCATGCATGCACCATGGCTGGGGTTGGCTAATGGAGCCACATATGCAGGCGAATCATGCATCAGGAGGGTCCAGCATTCAGTGGGTCCCCTCACTCCTAGCTCTTCCTCCAAGGCGATGGAAAAGCTCCAAGGAGGGGAGGGCACAAGAAGGGGAAAGAAAGAAAGGAAAAAAAAAAAAAAAAAAAAAAAAGGAGCCCTGGGCTGGCAGGGAAAAGAGCCTTAGCCTGGCAAGGACGTGCAAGACCGAGGGAGAGCTGGGCCTGCTCCAAGGGGCCGGCCTAACCCTACAGCGAGCGGCGCGCCGCTTCCCCGGAGCGAGGAAACGAAACCCCCCGCAGCCGGGCGAGGCCCCGCGGGAGGCGGCGCGCGGCGCGGGGCGGCCCGCGGGGCGGCGCCGCCGCCTTTTCCCCGCCCCTGCCGCCCGGCCCCTGCCTTGCCGCCAGCCCCCGCGCGCCGCCAGGCTCCGCTGCGCAGCTCGCCGGCCCCCACAGCGGCACCATGAAGGCTCTGCTGCTCGCCGCGCTGGCTGCGGTGCTGTGCGTGGAGAAAGGTAAGAGATGGAGGGGGCACACGCACACGACACTTTCCCCTCCCAGGCCACCGCCATCACTCCGAGCTCCCTGCACGGTCCCCGCTCTGGGAGCAGATGGAGGGTGTGTGGGGGGGAGGGAGATGCATCTTCGCAGCGCTGGAAGTTGCAGGGGCGGTGTTGCAAAAGGAGGGCAGGGTTGAGCCCTGTTCGGGGGCTACAGGGGATTCGTGCCAGGAGCTGCCCCCTCCGCAGGGTCCCTCTTGCAGCGGGAACTTCGGGGGTTGCTGTGCCCGTGCGCCGAGGTGTACGTCTCCAGATGCACGCGTTTTTGGAGCTGTTCCCAGTTGCAGCTCGAACAAAGAGAAGGGCCGGCCCCGCTCCTCCCTTCCAGTACAGCTAGACGGGATAACGGCGCTGAAATGGGCTGAGATGCAACGGAGTGGAAAAGGAGGACGGAGCCCAGCCCTGGCAATGGCTGATGGAGCCAATTCCGGGGAGAAACACTTGCAGTCCTGGCTTCTTCTATCCCTCAGCAACATTTAGGGGCAGGCTGGGGGTTGCCAGCGCATGGGGAGGTGACACCTCCTTTCTCCCTCCCAAAGAAACAGGGCCCTGTGGAGCGTGTCCTGGGCTTGCCGCTAAACCCGAGAACATGTTGCTGAGCGTGTTGAGCTGCAAGTTGACCAAGTCACAGGTCTTTTGTCCTGCCTCCCTGGTGACTCCATTTCTGCTTATCAAAACTCCATGGGGCCACTCAAAACCCCATATTGTTTCCATATGTTAATGCTGAGAAAAGCCAAAGAAAAGAGCAAACTGTTCCTGTCTGTCTGAGCCGTCTGCTTAGAAAACATGGACCCTCACTGTTTCCTGAGAACATCAGAGAAAAACTTAATTTTTTGCTGCCCTTTCCATGCTCTTCCTCCCCATGAGGTTCAAGGAAGCAATTGGCAACTAAAGCGTTGGGTCAGAGCCCAGCTGGAATCGGATCACCTATCCAGGACCAGGCAGAAGGGGATTTAACCTTCCCCCTCCCCAAAAGCCTTTCAACATAAGGACAACTTCTCCTTAGCTCCCTTAGGAAAAGGGTTTCTTGCAGGTAGCTTTGTCCCTAAACAGTCCCATTGCGCTCACAGACTCTTTCCTAGGAAAAGCTTTACCCTCTGTTCAGAGATCTGGCACAGGGAGTATAAGGCTCTTGTCTGAGAGCAATGGAAAAAAAAGAGCGTCTGGCAGAGGGAATGAGCGGAAGAGCTGCTGAAGCAACAGCATTTTTCATCAGTGCTTCAGAGTGGGCATTTAAAGGCTTTTTTTTTTCCCCTTTGTGCTTGCTCTTTGAAAGAAGGGACCCAACAAGTGTTTTCTAAGGAATTCCCCCAAAGGATCTGCTCCTTTTCATGAGGTCTTTGTTCCTTCAAGTAGCTGAGCAGCAAACAAACAAACAAATGCTTCCTGCAGAAGAATGCTGTGTTTTTCTAGTTGGATTTTCTAGGTGGTGAAAAGGAGGCTTGGCTTTTACATTGTTCAGTCTTGGTTTTTTTTTTTTTTTTTTT